TCAAGATTGGAAAACCTTTTACGGCAAGTGAAGATGCAGTTTTTTCCCCCCAGTGAAAATGAAGCGGATGCGGAAAAGATGCGTACATGTTCTTTATAATACTTTTATTTCACATTTCTCTGTTACACCTAAAAGCTGTTGGAGAAAGAGAAAACAAATATATATCACAAACTATAAATTTAAAAAAGTGAGACGACAAAGTCTGCCCATGCAGTAAAATGAACAAATAATCAAAATTTTACTCTCAGATCAGTGTAGCAATGTGAAGGTCACAGTCTGCTCCTTCCCTCTGCTGTTTGTAGGTCAGTCGGCCGTGCCGTCTGCTTGGTCACAGTACAGTGTGGCCGCAGACCCCCGGTGCCGTCCCCGCTTTCAGTCAGCCTGCAGTGACTTTACGAGTGCGGCATAGAAATGTCGGCTGCCGCGAACGCGCAGGGGACGATCACTGCAGAGCGTCTGTTGTATTCAGACATGGTCGGGTAATGACCTCCACCGCCATCACAGCCTGACATTAGAGGGAGTAGAAATAAGGAACTGTGTTTTGGCAGGTTCAGGTGGAGCTCGTGTGGTGTGAGCGCCCTCTTGTGGTGTGTAATGATTATGCATTGATGATTCAGGTTATCCTCATCTTTAATTAATAGTTCATAAAAAGTAATGATCTATATCTGTTGATGAGCAACATGGTTAATTGTTTATTACATTCTTAGAGCTTAGTATGAAGAGAGAAAAAGGCTTGCGCACAGTGTGTACTGCAGAGCAAAAGTCAGAAAACAAAAAAAGTGTTTTTGATTTTGACCACACCCACAAAAGTATATAATCGGTAATCATTGATTATTCAACACTAGCTCAGTATTTTTTTCTTAGTAATTTTTGCTACAGTAGAGAAATAAAGAGAACTCTCACCTCAGCCATCCAAATATAGCTCAGCCGTTGTACACGCCTAAAGGTTTTACTGTGTCATTGCTTAATTTGTGCTATTTTATCTATGTCCGCACTGTTTGTTGCTCTGTTATGTCAGTATATACTCACAACCTGTTTATTTGCTCTGGTGGAAATGGAGGATGCGTGAGAAGTGTCGAGGTGAAAGGTCGCGGTTACAAACGAAGGAAATGAGACGCTTTGTTTTTCAAAAGAGGAGACACAACTCGGATAAATGCCACACAGTTGGAGAGTTCATACATGTTTCCTGTGGTCTGTGTAACTAAAATCAAGTTGATGAAAAATATAAAAACGAAAAGAAAACATTCCATAGTTTGTCTGAACCACTGCCACTCCCCTCTCTATTAAACTACACATTTTGAAGTACGTCCAGAATATTCTCTGCTACAGACTGTTGTTGTTTAATTTTCTCCTGATCTCTTATATCTCAGTCTCCTCCCAGCAAGAAGCGTAAATTGGAGAAGGCACGGAAGCCCCTGTCGTTCACACTACCACAGGCGGGACTGAAGGAGCTCCAGGCCAAGGACTCGGCTGTAGGCTGTACTGCCTGCAGCCCTGTGGACCGCATCACTGCTCTGCTAGAGAAAACACTCACTGACCTGCGGGTAAGCTTCCTGGTTCTATGTGTCCCTTGACCTCAGTGTGGCATTTGTCATGACATTGCAAATATACAGATTTAAACAGTGGTGGTGGTTTGACAGCTGCTCACACTTAGCATTAAAATGCAGTTTGGATGATCCAATCACAAGGGAGTGGCTGTAATTTGGGGCATAATTGCACCCAAATTACAATGAGGATGCAAAGAGAAATACTACTATGATGTAGTACAGTAAACCCATAAACCACCACCAACCTCATAAGTTACTTTAGAGTTGAGTCAACTCCTGTCTGACAGTGTTTAAAACACAAGCTTCACAGAGATATTATTTATCTGCAGATCTGTGGTATTATATTGTACAGGTTTTGCCCTCTTTTCTCCATCCCCTGCAGTCATTTAGTGCACTGGTCAGCTCATTTTAATACAACTCCAGTAAACTTCTTTAGTCTGAGTGTCCTCTGTGTGTGGCTCTGCAGGTGCTGCACAAACGTGTCCCGTGCCGAAAGCAGGAGCAGAGCCTCTTCCTAACGGCTGTGGAGAACACGTGGATCCACGGACGACAGAAGCGACGTGAAGGGTCGCGTCAGTTGCGGGAGCTTCCCAGGGCGCCGCACTGTGCTGGAGCCAGCTCTCAAACCACTGCGGCCACAGCTGCTCCCGCCACAACCCCGACATTTCAAAACCAGTCTGCATCAACACTAGACAGCAACACCCAGGGCGATAGCACTCAAAAGGAAAGCGTGTCTGCACAGGAGCTAGCTGCTAAGCAGGAGCCCGCAGAGCAGATTGGCAATGGCGCTTCTTCAGCTGAGACGAGTAAAGATGTAACACACAAAGAGGTCTTGGAAAATGTATCGGGAGAAGACGTGGACATGGAGTCCTCTACGTCCAAAGAGGCAGGGCAGGAAACTGTCCCAAAGGAAGCACCTGCTGCAGAAGGCGAACCCCCCTCCAAGCGACCACTGAGCCCCGGTGTAGTGGAACACTTCCTGTTTAAGTGTCTGCTGAACGTGATGCCTGAAGAGAACGATGTAGTGATTGAGATGCACTGGGTCGAGGGTCAGAGTAAAGACCTGATGAACCAACTGTGCACCTACCTGAAGAACATGCTCTTAAAGTCTGTCGCCAAGTCCTAAATGGTGGAGGAAAAAAAACAGGCCCTTTTCTTTTTAAACCGTTAATTCAGATGTGAAATGATTATTTTTATAGATGATGACTGAGTGCCTGTCAGTTGGGAATTTTCTTTTTGGACAGTTAAAATGATTACAATGTGCATAACTGTATACAGCTTTTGATACTTTTTTTGTAGTACTTAGCAGTTTACCTTTTAAGGTAATACATAAAAATTGGACATGATATTTTGTGCTCAGTTCATTTGCAATAAATGTACATTTTTGTAACCGATTTGCTTTTTTCGTCTTTCAGACAGTGAAGGTTTTTTTTTTTTCAATGCAGCATTTAAATGACCACAAGAGGGCAGTGTATGTTTTTTCTGTAAACTATTCCTTCCAGGATCTATTAGATTAAATAATTTAATTGCAGGTTTATTTGACATTGTCTTTGTGAATGGCACATTGAGCCCACCGTGGCTTGCCATCTGACTAAATTTACACACAGCCTATGTAATTCAGGATGTTCCTGGAGCCCTGCAGTGTTTCCTGTTCCTGGAGAACCTTTAGTATTGTGGTCCGATATTATTACCCTTTGTTGTTGCTGACATACTTCCTGATTGGAACTGAGTGAATAACAGGAAGAACCCTAAATACCCAGGGTCAGTGTTGGTGTGTAGAAATACTGTAGTGATACTGTAGTAATGTAGTTCCTACTTGTACTACATGTTTTTCATTAAGGCCAGGACTTCGACTCCACCAGCGTGTGTGTGTGTGTGTGTGTGTGTGTGTGTGTGTGAGTCATGTGAGAGCAACATCAATGCGAAAAAACAGGCATGTAGCTTACTTTAGTTAGATTATATGCTGATAATAATATGCACTTGTAATTCTGTTTAAAACAAAGAGGAAGCTTCATTCACAGGTCGATTCTGACTGTATAAGACCGTAAGTCTGGATATTCCTGAGCTAATGTAATAAGAGTAATTACAAGAATAATTTGACCAGAGCAGAAATGATTAGCTAAATTAATCAACTAAGTGACAGAAAATTAGTCCACAAGAATCAGTCATTAACAAGTCATTAAAAAAGCAAAAATGCCAAACATTTGCTAGCTCCAGCACCTCAAATGTGAGTATTATTATCATTTTTTTCTATTTCACAGCATTTTAAATTGAGTGTTTTGGACTGTTTGACTCTGGGAAATCACGATTTGTCGCAATTTTATAGACTAAATGATTGATCGAATAAGGAAAAGATTAATGGAAGATAGAATAATTGACAGTGAAAATAATTGTTGATTGTGACTTTAAAATAAACACATGCCAGTGAGTTTTGTGGCAGGTGTACATATATTTATGTCTACTCATCTATATTTGTATCCCCCCTCCAAATAAATTGCTTGGTTTAGAATATAATATTTTATAACAACTAAGTAAACATTGCTATTTTATTTGTTGCCCTATAGGTAGTAAAGTGTGGTAGTGAAATGTAGAAACACTGTTAACTTACAAGTAAAAACCTTGCATTAAAAATGTTACTAAGTAAAAGTATAAAAGAATTGGCATCAACATGTATTTAAAGGACCAAAAGTAAAAGTACTCATCTTGGAATAATCTATAATGTTTTATTAGATAAAAACTATTAATGCATTGAGTGTACATCAGTCATGCTGCAGCTAGTAATGTGGAGCTCGTTTTCATTATTCTATATATCAGTGGTTTTATATAAAATAATACATCATAATGTATTTGTTGGTTATATTGTGTATTATTAATCTGAATCTGCAGAGTACCTAGTATGTAGTGATGTGAAAGGTTCCCCCTCTGTTGGTATAAAGTAGCAGTAAGTAGAAAATCTTCAGTTAAATACAAGTCCTTCAAAATTGAACTAAATGTGTAGAGGTAATGGAAACGTAGGTCAGGACTATGCCCTCTGTTGAATTACATGCTCTTTGCCCCATCCCACAGCTCGTACTGCTCTGATTTGGTTTCATTTTCAGCCTCATACCGGCCGGCTGTGGTTATCAAAAGTACTTCCGATATATCCTTTTATTGTTCTGTGTGAGGCCTGCCTCTAAAAGCTTTGACGCGGGAGAGATTCACCACACTGCAACGCTCGTATCCATGTGTGCGGACGCCATACCTTGTTGTTCTTCACGGTGATTGGCGGTTGAACAATCAATACACCATCGAGATGTAAATGTACTGCAGTCACGCTTACGTGTAAATTGCGGAGAGACGGTTGGCAACGTCTCATAACAAATTTAACAAACGTGACACACGGAGAGTGTGAGTAGAAAATGTATCTAGAAAGCCCTCAGTCATTACAAATCCTTATAGTTTCTGTCCTACCTTTTATTATTGAACACTGCTCCCTTGTTGAGCTAAAGCGGTTGACAACAGCTACTAACCTTACTGACCGTTGGCGCAACGTTTTGTTACATGTTTAAAAAATGACAGTAAGAGTGTTTCTGTGGCGGACGTGACTCAACCATATATTACACCGTTGTTAATCTCATCCACATGTCCCTCCGTGTTTTCTCAGTTTCTCTCTGATGTGCACGGGAGGGAGTGTCTGTCCGTGGGCGGTTACAAACGGTGCGTGATTCACAAACCTTATTTGTTCCCAGTTCCCACTACTCTGAGCGCCATCTTGTTTGTAACTCCTCTACGCAAGTGGTATAGTTTCTGCTGAGGGGGTATCCGATTACCCTCTTTTTTTTCCAGCGTTAGCCTGGGAAACCTCTCCCTGTAGTGCTCGGGCGCTTATTTGCATTTGCTTTATCGCCTTTCTATTGGCAAATTAAGCCACAGCCTTTTCAAATTGACAGAAATGAGCATCGAAACACTTCTGGAAGCGGCCAAGTTTTTGGAATTGCAAGCCCAGCAACAACAGAAAGCACGTGGTAAGTTGATATTTTATTAGAAATATAATTTATGTTTTTTTTCCCAACATTGAGAACTGTGAAATATTAACTGTAAAATACTCGACAACTCAGTCAAACGTGTCTCTGAAAGATGCATTTTCTATTTTCTGTTTGTCGTTGATTTATCAGCGCCGTTCATGAACCAATTACAGTATGTTAAGCACATACGTTATGCTTTTAAATTAAAATGTGACCAGCTACTGAGAGGAATGCGTTTCGGTCAGTCTGTGACATTTTAGTTTTACTTTCATATTCGTTTTTAAGTGCAGAGGCGTATCAGAATTTTAATAATTCCTGCTTTGGTTCATTTATCAGTTTGTCGTCACCTTAGTTAAATCATAGCTGGCCAAAATAGTAAATAAACATACACGGTTCTGCTGCAGTACCGGGTTAATTACTGCATTGAAAACTGCTACATACACAGGGTTATTACAGAGGTGGGCTGCATAGCATCACTGTAAAGTTCTCGGATCCATTTATGCTTTTGCTTGTCAGTAGATTTACGATTGACTGTATGCACTGCTACGAAATATTTATAAAAAACACGGGTACATAAAGGGCGGTGGCGCAGGGAATGCCAAGCTCGCTTTACATAATGACCTGACATCGCCCGCCGGGGGATCAAGTGACTGGCTTTCAGGCTTCCCCTACCGTTACATGCATCTGTGTTCTTTAATCATCCATGCTGTCTAAACATGTGAAGTGTGCTCGTGCTTATAACACCGTTTACCCATGTATATATTCAGCCTGCTTGTTTGTGTCTTGCAAAAAAAAAAACCCAAAAAAACACAAAGTCCCTAGCCTTTCGTGCGCTCGTGGGGCGCTTTGACTGTCTGTCGATGACGTGTACCAGACAACCACGCCTCCATATGTTAACAGCAGGGTTGGTAGGAGGCCCCGCCCCTTTCACCACGTGCGTGCTGGGCAACCCCTCCCAAAGATTGTTTATGAAGAAGATGAGTCACTGTGTACAAAAATATTTAAAAAAGCAACTTTGTGCTGCTTTTCTGAAAACCGAATTTACAGTGCATTTCGCCAACAAGACAAACATGGTGTAGCTCAGTCGCTAAAACAAAGACATGCATGTTAACCTGTCTCTGCTGATTAATTTTCACAAAGAGATAGCCAAGTGTTTTCCCAAAGTTTGAACACCTTTTTGTTTTCTTACTGTATTCTGTGGCTGTTTCACACCCTCCAAAATATGTGTAACTATTATCTTAGTATTTAAAAAATGAGGCACTGACTTTTAAAAGTCTTATTGGTTTGTGTTTAAATTGCTGGCACTGCTAAAGCCCTGGATATACTTGCTTTTTACTACACATTCACGTACGAAGGATGGCTGCTACGCATATCCTGCATTTCTTTGGAGCACAGGTTGTGCATGTCTCCAGGAATTAACCCTACACGTCCCCGAGATGCAGTTCTGCACATGAACTTGGGGGCAGTGTGTCGGCAGGTCAGCAGCAATCTACTGTTCCACACACCGCAGGTTGGCAAACCAACCACCAATAAACGCAAAAGAAGGTCAACAGCTGTCTTCAAAAAGGGAGATTTATGGCGGGATGTTTACAGAAAACTCCTGGAGCTAGTCCGCAATTACCGAGATCGTTATGATGTCTCATAAAAATTACATCCTGCTCAAGTGTCGCCATGTTTGGTTTGTTTATGATGTGCAAATTCGGAAGTTGTCAATGAAGATAATCCGGTTGATCCGGTGAGATGTGCTACTTTGCAGTTCTGCGCAAGCGTATGACCCTCAAGCGTGGTCTGATTCCACGCCCATAAATCTGTGCAACCTTGCTGTTGGGCATGCCGTCGAGACAGTGGCTGATCGTCAGCAATATCAAAAAAATAAAATCATTATTAGTCCATCAGAATATGCTACCCCTGATATCTTAAAGAAAGATGTCATAATATAGTATTTCAACATGCTCCCCATCTCCTTACAGTACACATGTAGTGAGTATAGTGGTACAATTTCTGTAGTGGGTGCATTATTTGATGGGGGATATCAGTCTATCAGAATATGCTACCCCTGAAATGATGTTATAATATAATAAAAAAAAAGACGTCATAATATTTAGTGAGTTATACCTTTATGGGATTAGAAAAGGGAACACATAAGGTAGCACTTTTCGATAGGGCAGAGCGACTCGATAGACTGTGCTATCGATTTGCGCTACGGTAGCATTTTTCAACAAGGCAACATAGATCGTCAGAACACCGGTCCTGGTCTGCCCCCTAGTGGATTCAGGTTTAATCCTCCAGGTACGCAAAGTACGCAGGCAAGTATGTGAACAATGCCGTTTGTGTGGCCGACGCCTGTCTACGCCTACGCATTGTTAAAAAGCAAAAGCAAGTAATTCCAGGGCTTAACCTCGCGGGCGCATGTGGAACTTCTCAACCCCGAAAACGTTCGAGCAAATTTTCGATTCGCCATCAACTTTGGTAAAACTGCCAATATTCAAATTCTACACAGTTGATTTCTCGCCTCAAAACCGCTCAAGTATGTTTAGTGATGAAATAGCGTACAAAACTTGTAAAAACAAAAAAAAAACGTTCTGCTATTTCTCAGTTAGTTTCTGCTTCTTGTGTGAATGCTTTTTCTTTGTGAGTAGTACAGTCAAGTAGTCATGGCAGCAAGTGGAAGCGATACTGCCCCCAGCACTTCCTGTAGTGCATTGCAGTTAGAAATAAACAACCAGAAATGTTCTTAATAAGAAGATTGCTATCTCTCCCTTAAACAGCCTCTGTGTAACGATGCATCAACAATGAAATTTCAAGTCGGCTAATTTTTATCGTTAACATCGTCGATTACTTCGACCAATCGTTGCAGCCCTAGACTCGACAAACATATGTTCAGCTTGATCGGCCATGACCGGGGGCTGTGCTGATCATCCTCACACATCCAATTCTGTGCCGGTCATATGTACATACATGCTGCACCACATGATGGTTTACATCATGGGCATAGCAGCACAGACAGTAACCGACTATTGTCACATACACAAGCTAAAACATGTTGTCACCATGGAAGTTTATCGCTTTGAGTGTGGAAAACATAACGCTCACAATTTGTAATACCTGTAAGGCCAAAGTAAGCCGTCTTTCCCCGCACACAGACTTTACTTGGTCGAGCCACCCAGGTATTAACGGTCGCCTTATTAGGCTATATTTGGCCGACCGTGAGCATTTTGCAGTGAAACACAGAGAGAGAGAGAGAGAGAGCGACTTTATTTGGTATTATGTTTGAAGACACGGACACGGTGGATATTTTACAAGCAAGGCTTCATTGTTAACAACAAGCCTCTTCCACCTGCGAATAAAGTCAACAGAGCAGACAGATATAGAGAGATACGCTCTCCCTCCCTCTCTGTCAATCTCTCTCTTGCTCTTTACCCCTCTCAATTCAATTCAGCTTTATTGGCACACACACACTTTTATTGTTTTTATTTTATTTATTTGATGAACCATATTAATAGAATTCACAACACACGCTTGGAGAATTAAGTGGAATTAAAATGGTGAGATAAGAAATAACCTACTAGAAATACGGCAACATATTCTATGCTAATGCTAATTGGGATGCTAATGAATAAAAAGAATTTTCTGGAAAAGTTACAACAATGTTTGTGTATGCAGTGAATTAAAGTTCTCAGAAAGGAAATCAGGCACGTCCAAGAAAATTGCAGTCGGTGAGTCCTGTGTTGTGTTGGCTTGCATGCCAAGTGACAAATATTCAGGCACATTTCTTAATCTGTACAGGTCTTGTCACATTTAAACAGTCAATACATAAGTTATGTATGACTTTACTTTGTCAAATGGCTGAACCCAGCAGTGTTACTGATTCTGAAAAGGACTGGAGTTCTCTCTTTATGGAGACATTTTGTGGAATTCAAAAAGGCTCAGAGTGAGAGCTCCTGCTCCTTCCCTCTCGTTCCTTCCCTCTCCCTGCTCCTCCCACCATGCTGCATTGAGAGAGCAGACCCCCTCCCACCTCCTCCCTCTCTCTGCTACTGTAGAGCAGGTCACTGTGTGGAGAAAAGTAGGCCAGTGTTTCCACTGTGCTGCTGCAGTTATATAATGTCTATAGAAAACCCTCTTGTTTTTACAAGCATTTCATTGGTTTTCTCTCAGAAAAGACACAATCCTCCGTCTGGTGTTTGTCGGCCCCACAACACTAAACAGGGCATTCAACATCATATGAAAGCTGGCTCTCACCATAACCAGAACATCTTGTTCTTTTGACTTTGAAGACAAAATTTTGTGTAACATAACAAATATACTCAGCACAAAGTGACACACTTGACTGTTAATTAGGATAATATTAAATTGGTCTCCAGAGCTATTTATAGCTGGAAATGTCTCCCTCTTTTGAATGATTTTGTTCAGAAATTTACAGATATTATGAACAAAAAAGAATATATCTGCTTCATGTAACATCTGATTTGCCTTTTCTTTTGTAATAGTTGGGCCATGCCTTTATTTGTGTGTCTTAAAAGCAGGGCTTTAGCTTTGAACTCTTTGAACAAATACAGTATAGGGAGGTATTAATCTGTGATTGCTATACATATGCTAAAGTATTTCAAATATTGAAAGTTGTATCTATCACATAGAGAAGTTTATGTAAACATTTTTAAAGGCCAAAATATCAGTGAATATTAAACCTGTGTTAAATCTAAATAATGTATTAAAGAGGCAGACATGTGCCTCTATTGTATTGTACACTCAGTTTATTATGATCACCAAGTTAAAACTAATGCAGCCTAATACAACAGTCATGCAGTAAATCCCGCCGCCATGAAGGTTATAGCGTTGGGTTTTTGATGAAACTGTTTTAGAGAGGTGTTGAATCAACTTCATGATCATTTTGGAGGATGTAGTTTGTGGTGCTGTTATACTGACAGACGTTTCTGCTATTTTGTCCACCCCATGTGTATCTGCGAGGGTTGGCTGTCTGTATCTGATAAATTGGTAACTGAGTGTGTCTTCTGAAATGATGATACAGATCCTGTGTCATTTTTATTTATATATATATATATATACAGTCGTGATATTGTACATGGAGTCTTGTTTTCACAGAACACAGTGTTTCTAGTTTGCACGTTTCTATTAGTCCTTAAAGGTGACGTTATCGTGTCCACAGTGGCTTGTAATAAATGACCCGAGATGTAAATAAGTCTAGTCTGCTGCTGAATCTTTAGCTCTGCAGTGAAGGGGCTGGCCAATAGCGCTGCAGTGACCGTGGTCCGCTTCATAATGATGTTAATGACAACACCTTGTGTCTGACGTCTCTAACACTGAACACCACAGCTGCCATAGCAACTAGACAGCCCCTGTCTCCATCTCTCTGGCATCCATACATTATGGAGGGGGCGTCTTGCATTGTACGGCAAGGCTGATGAAGCTCTTTGATTCCAACTAGTTTTTATTCCACGTTTTGTCAAGCTTGTTCTGAATTGTGTCCAGGCAAGTCCCAATTTTAATCGGTATCAGCCGTTGGACTTTTCTCTTTATGTGCAAAACCTTTACATTGCGACATGCACAGTTTTCACAACAAGCAGCGTGTTATGTCCTTGACTTAGCTAACATGCTTTCAGATACCTTTTTTACCAAAGTAATTGCCAGACACACGTGTTGGTGCCAAGGGTTCCCTCAGTGTGTGGCTTTGTTAGTAGACAGACTTGCAAACACAACTTGGCCCGGTGGATTGTGACTAGGATGACATTGCAGTGCGAGTTGCCTCCATTAGAGCAATCGCCTTCTTTTTAGAGATGGCAGGAAGCTTGGCAGGATTTTGTAAATGTAAAAACACACATACTTTTAAGCTTGTTACAAAGAAGCGCAGAAAAAGGGAAGCGCTTTCACTCCCGCTGACACACAGAAAGTGATTACGTGGAAGTTAACAGGGAGTCACAGACTATCCTCTAATGATAGAGCATGTTTGGCATTACTGCTGAGTTGAGAAACCTGCTACTGACATCGTGAGTTTTCGGTAATGAAGTTTAACATTTACAGAAACCCATAGCTTTAAATCTTTTACAGTTTACTTTAACTAGGACAATCAGGATGAATGTTGCAGGTAGTAGGCCTTGGTTTGTGTGTGTGTTTGGTTGTATTACCATGTGTTTCTCAAATAGTTTGTCAGTTGTTGGTTTATATTCAGTGCATGATGAAAATTGTTTTTTTTCCTCCCTGACATACTCTCCGAAAATATCTTAATCAAAGTCACGGTTCTGTAATAGATTGTTTCTCAATAATTTAACAAAGTGTATTCATATTTTGTATTGTGGTACTTTTATAGTACTTTAAATGTGTACAGGAGGAAATATTTGTTCTGCTAACATGCATCGTTTCTTCCACAGAGGATGAACTGAAGGAAAAGCAGCGTCTGGAGCAGGTGGCAGAGCAGAGGCACTCTGATGTAAACTATAACTCAACAATCCACATCAACAATGTTTCAAAAGCAGAGGAGCGCCACACTGAGTGCCGTCCGGCGCCCATACAACCCTCTCTGCCTCCCCCCTCCATGCCCATCACCGTCATCCCCATCCCCGTGGTCACTCCCAACCCGACAGGCTCACCCACCCTGCCTGTCACCACGCTCTCCTCTCCAGCTGCGGCTCTGCCCGCCGCCGCTTTACCACGCTCTCCACAACCCACACCCGACCACCCGACCTCTGTGTTGAGCACCAACCACAAGCAGCTGATACAGAACCACCATAACCACCCACAGCTTATCGCCCAAACTAATGATGCTAAACTACAGCAGCTGGTTCAGCGCTACCCCGGTTCTATCGTCTCACCCCCACAGCAACACGTCTTACTCCCCCAGTCGGGCCCCGTGCTCCAGCAGACTCCTCTACAAAATGGCCCCATCAGCCGGGGTAGTCCCCCTGATGACGGCCGCCACCTAGACAGCAAGAAGAGGCCTGGAGGGTAAGTCTTAACCTATTAAGTTCACATTATTATTATTGAAACAGTATATTCGTTTTAATTGATGTTATTTGTCAATCAGTACGTAAGTCTATAAAATGTCCTTAAGCACTTTTGAGCTGTAGCCTTCTAAAACCCCTCAAACTTTAAATTGGACAAGCGTGAGAGAATATTGTCACTAAACTATCTGCTAGCAACAAAGCAAGAAAAACTCCCCTTTGGTTGATTTTGATTATTCTTGTCACATTGCCCTTTTGGAAACCAAATTCTTACTGTGCTCTCATTTGTGCTCTTACAGGGCAGGCACAAGAGAGGTGCATAACAAGCTTGAGAAAAACAGGTGGGTTCGACCTGTCTACCATAGGGCCTCCTTAACGCGAGAGAGAGCTCAGGTTAAATGTTTTGTTACACTTGAGTAATAGTGTACTAGTTACATAGTGTGTTTTTTCCCCCAGTGACTTTTGTCTAAAACTGACTGATGCCTTTTTTGTATATGTCACTGTTTAATTTTAACGCTAAGCTTGATCTTTTTTTTGTTTATTTTTGTCAAGAATTGAACCACCAATCCACCAACTGAAAATGCTGTTGTATTGAAATAAAGCAAAGTGTGGCTCTACCATTTCCGCTGTCTCATTTCCCCTCTCTCGTGTCTTGTGTCCGTCAGACGAGCACACTTGAAGGAGTGCTTTGAGACGCTGAAGAAGAACATCCCCAACATAGACGAGAAGAAGACCTCCAATCTGAGTGTGCTAAGAAGTGCGCTAAGATACATTCAGGTGAGCTGCTGGTTTTATCATCATCTTTAGACAGTCTTTAGCCCGGAAAGATGATTAGAGAGATGATGACCAGCTTAATGTTGGTGAAAACTCTTTGAGCAAAGGGTAGTCTGCTATTACACGACATATAGCTAAACTCTATGCCAGAAACATTGGTGTTTAGTTTATTGTATCTATGGTTAAACAAAATATTCTTGCAATTATAAAATTAATAACTTTATTTAAATTCAAATTAGCTTTATTGGCATTCACATTACATTTGATATTTATATAGCACCTTTCAAAACAGAGTTAAAAAGTGCTTTACAAAGGAGTACAGTTAAAACACTACAAGCATTTATTGAACAATAGGGGACTCAAACACTGGTAGAAGCAAAAACTAGTGTAACAGTAATAAATAATATAGAAAACAAATTAGATAGAATGTCAAGTATAAGAAGGCTTTTATATAGATATATGTTTTGAGACAGGATTTAAAGGAAGACACTGAAGTTGCTAGCCTGACATCATCAGGTAGGGAGTCAGAAGGGCCCGTATCTTAAAAACCTGATCACCTTTTGCAACGAGGCAGGACTTATGAACCGACAACTGAGGATCACAGGTTACGTACAGGCTCATACGGGACAAGTCAGTTAGATGTCTGTACAGCAATAAAATCTTAAAATCATTGTTTACTGCATTCCTCCAGATGTTTGTGAAAGACATGTTTGTACAGGTTCATTGGCACTCATACTTACTACTGAACAATGGTGCCTCCATATAGTAGAAGTGTGATTACAGTTGTAATTATCAGGATTTGCATAATCAGTTTTGAATTTGGAGAGATGGCGATGTGTGGCTGTGGTTTTGTTTTCCACCAAGCCAGGTTGTTTACATTATGTAATGCTGCTTTCCTAAAAAACATTCACCATTGTAGTAGAAAAGGGTGCCGTGGTGTTTCAGCGCTGAAATTGATTTGAAATAACACAAAGTACAAGATAAGTGGATGCTGGTTTGACTTATCATTGTTTGTCCCTGATAACTATTTACTACCAACAATCAGACAAAGCTTGAGACCTGTTGAAAACCTTTCTTTCCACAAAATCATTTCCTGTCACTCATATTGATTTTAGTTTTTTCCTGCCTTTTGTGTCTCTGTGTTTAGACCCGTCTACACTGTGGAGTGACTCTGTGTTTAATATTAGGAATGTGTGCCATGTCCACAACTGACTCACCATGTGTTTGAGTTGGGTGCTCACTGTGTGAGAGCCCTGGTTGTAAACAGCTGGTGCAAAGGTCCGCCACGGGCTTGGACTGTAACTGTGCCGCTGAGCGTGTCACAGTGTTTACTGTGGGTCCCCCCCCCCCCCCCCCCCCCCCCCCATCCCATCATAGATAGATCTTGTAGGGTGGCAGTTTGAAATCTGAGAGTTCACCCATTGGCCCACACTAGAATCAGGTGTTGCAATTTGAGAACAGCTGCTGTATTTTTGTGTGTATTCGGACTGTAATTTTTATACTGATGTACAGTGCTTATTATAAGTGCATTTAAGCTAGTAAAAACATTTTTATTGTATTTACATACAGTGCCTTGCGAAAGTATTCGGCCCCCTTGAACTTTTTGACCTTTTGCCACATTGCAGGCTTCAATCATAAAGATATAACTGTAATTTTTTGTGAAGAACCAACAACAAGTGGGACACAATCATGAAGTGGAACGAAATTTATTGGATATTTCAAACTTTTTTAACAAATAAAAAACTGAAAAATTGGGCATGCAAAATTATTCAGCCCCCTTAAGTTAATACTTTGTAGCGCCACCTTTTGCTGCGATTACAGCTGTAAGTCGCTTGGGGTACGTCTCTATCAGTTTTGCACATCAAGAGACTGAAATTTTTGCCCATTCCTCCTTGCAAAACAGCTCGAGCTCAGTGAGGTTGGATGGAGAGCGTTTGTGAACAGCAGTTTTCAGTTCTTTCCACAGATTCTCGATTGGATTCAGGTCTGGACTTTGACTTGGCCATTCTAACACCTGGATATGTTTATTTGTGAACCATTCCAGTGTAGATTTTGCTTTATGTTTTGGATCATTGTCTTGTTGGAAGACAAATCTCCGTCCCAGTCTCAGGTCTTTTGCAGACTCCATCAGGTTTTCTTCCAGAATGGTCCTGTATTTGGCTCCAGCCATCTTCCCTTCAATTTTAACCATCTTCCCTGTCCCTGCTGAAGAAAAGCAGGCCCAAACCATGATGCTGCCACCACCATGTTTGACAGTGGGGATGGTGTGTTCAGGGTGATGAGCTGTGTTGCCTTTACGCCAAACATAACGTTTTGCATTGTTGCCAAAAAGTTTGATTTTGGTTTCATCTGACCAGAGCACCTTCTTCCACATGTTTGGTGTGTCTCCCAGGTGGCTTGTGGCAAACTTTAAACGAGACTTTTTATGGATATCTTTAAGAAATGGCTTTCTTCTTGCCACTCTTCCATAAAGGCCAGATTTGTGCAGTATACGACTGATTGTTGTCCTATGGACAGAGTCTCCCACCTCAGCTGTAGATCTCTGCAGTTCATCCAGAGTGATCATGGGCCTCTTGGCTGCATCTCTGATCAGTCTTCTCCTTGTATGAGCTGAAAGTTCAGAGGGACGGCCGGGTCTTCGTAGATTTGCAGTGGTCTGATACTCCTTCCATTTCAATATTATCGCTTGCACAGTGCTCCTTGGGATGTTTAAAGCTTGGGAAATCTTTTTGTATCCAAATCCGGCTTTAAACTTCTCCACAGTATCTCGGACCTGCCTGGTGTGTTCCTTGTTCTTCATGATGCTCTCTGCGCTTTAAACGGACCTCTGAGACTATCACAGAGCAGGTGCATTTATACAGAGACTTGATTTCACACAGGTGGATTCTATTTATCATCATTAGTCATTTAGGTCAACATTGGATCATTCAGAGATCCTCACTGAACTTCTGGAGAGAATTTGCTGCACTGAAAGTAAAGGGGCTGAATAATTTTGCACGCCCAATTTTTCATTTTTTTTATTTGTTAAAAAAGTTTGAAATATCCAATAAATTTCGTTCCACTTCATGATTGTGTCCCACTTGTTGTTGGTTCTTCACAAAAAATTACAGTTTTATATCTATGTTTGAAGCCTGCAATGTGGCAAAAGGTTGAAAAGTTCAAGGGGGCCGAATACTTTCGCAAGGCACTGTATGTCTAGTTATACTGGAGTTTGATGTCAGGCCTACACAATAACTGATATTTGGTGTGCACGCTGATAGCCCTTTTTGGTTATGACCTCTTAATGCCTTTATGAAAGAACCAACCCTGTAGTTATTCACATCCCTTATTATACAAGTGTGCTGCAGGGACTAATGTACATTTTGCAGAGGACAGCGTGCTGCTGATTTGACGCTCTGAGTAGCAGCAGTTTGGTTATTCCTCTCTGCGTGTGGAGGGAGGGAAACTAGGACAGCGTGGGTGCAGAGCTCGTCACCCAATCTCCCTCTGCCCTCCCTCTCTGTGTGTTAGGCAACACGACATTCAGTGTGTTGCGTTCGAGTGGCAGACTGACCTGCCTCCCTTTTACTCCTATCAGCCGCTGAGCGGGACAGGAGATATATTTAAGGCAAATAGACGAGAGGAGAAATCACAACTGGTCCCACTTTTGCAAAAAAATGGCAACTGTACAACTTCAGTGAGCATTTTGTTTTACACATAAATATATATATATATATATATATATATATATATATATATATATATATATATATATATATATACGCAACAGTTTATCTATTCTAGGTCAGAACAGTTTAGCTGCCTCTTTGTCATGAGGTGTCTGTTTTCATTGGCCTGGCTGGTGGTGTTTTGTTTTGAAGGGGGTGGAGTAAAAGAAGGGAACTTAAGGTGATGAAAAAAAACACGCTGTCGTCTCGACATTGGTGGTACAGACGCGTGTCCTGGCTGCATACACCTCCCTGCCCGCCCGTGTCCTTGCTCTCCTCTGGGCTGGCAGCAAAAATGCCGTCTGCACACAACAACAAAAACAGGTTCAAATAAGAGGCTTTAGGCTCAACATCATATTTGCATTTGATTTATCTCGCTTGTTCATCTCAAGTGTCAATTTGGAAATGAGGAATTTGGAAATTTTATCAGTTTTCCACAGAAAGTCACTGGTTTGGCCCACAGCCAGAAGTTCAAATGACTCAGCAAATATAGATTATATTATTTTAGCTTTTGTGTCAGTGTTTTAACAGAGCTATACTAGGTTTGATTTTTTTTTACTTTAAATGTGTTACATCTTGTTCCTGAGCCTGTAGTGATGCTGCAAAAGCCGAAGCTGTAAAATAAGCTTCGATGCATTAGAGCTCCTCCTCTCTCCTCCCCCCTCCCTCCCACTATCCCTGCCTCTCTGAGCTTTTAAGGCCACATGAGCAGCAAGCACATGGCTAGCCTGAGCCGCGTGACGTCACCCCCCCAATACCCCCCCGCCCCACCCAGCACTGCAACAGGCAGGGCTCGCCGTACCACCAGGCTTAGCTGCCAGCAGAGAGAGAACATAGAGCGGTAAAAACATGGCTCGGTTTACTCTGCCCGCGCTTCATTTCCCTCCTCATAGCTGACTGAACTTGTTCCTCCACTGCTTGTGCCTCGAATGCCAGTCTGAAACGTGTTGTGCCATCTGGTGGGGAAAATCTTGAGTATACAGGTGGAGGAAGATGGATATGTGTTTATATATTTTTAGCATTGTAAAGGAAATGACATTTCACTGTGCACATAATGGAATATTTCCTTAGAAACCTCGCCTTAATAACGCAGTTGATTGCTCTGACATTTTCTTATTCATTCAGCCATGAACGTTAAAGATAATGAGTCTTTCTTGGCAGTCGAGGTCACTGCTCTTTAATATTTCAAGGTCTTAGCATGGTCTTTGTGAAAAACTACAGTCAAACTCAATAACTGTTACATTATGTGATTTCTGGGTTTTCTGGAAAGACGAAAAACATCTTGATCCACAGGGTTGTTTTATGCAAAAAGAGCCGCTATTTGACGGAGTACCACAACACAGCTAAAAGTGGAGTGCATGTACTGAAGCAGGGTCTGGACTATCGACCAGTCCTAAGCCCAATGAGGTAATCAAGTCAGCTATGACCAGCACAAGCTTGCACTCAAGGAGCTGTGTGTAAAAGTAAGTATTTCTTCCCCGGACAAGCTCTTTATTGTTGAAGTCAGGCACCATGTGAAGTTTTCTGTTCCAGCTCGAAGGCACAGAAAGACAAGGGTTTATGGTTACCACACTGTCATAAGACCTCTGTGCAGAAGCCTGATCGGTCAGCCAGGCTGAGCAGCATGTCTGCAACGTGGCCTCCTATGCTCCTGGCCCTTTAAGAAAGCCCAGCCTTGTGCTGTCTGCAGCAAAAGTGAGTCAGAGAGTACAGCTTGTATTTCTCTCTTTCAATCCCTCGCTATCTGCCACCCTCCCTCTCCCGTTCTCTGTGGGGCCATGTGCTCGGCACTCGCATTGCTTGTGACAGCACTTGAGCAGTGTTTACCTCCCCCCACCACACACACACACACACACACACACAAACACACAATGCAGCCTATCCTTGTACTGAACTAGATTTTCACACGCAAGCGAAGCCGAGGTGGGGCCTTGTCTCTCTGGAGGGAAGAGGCTCAGCGGGTGCAGCCATGTGCAAAGAAACAAAAAGGCACTTGGCACCTTGTGTCCTACCAACCTGGTGACATGATTAACAGGGCAATGAAGTCATGTGGGATCCATCTGCGACAGACTCGGTTCTCGGGTTTACATAGTTAATCTCTGGACTAGCTGTTAGTAAAGAGACGAGCACAGTGTTTGCTCTGTCCACCATCAGCGCAGCAACAGGGAGAGTTCAGTGGGTCTCGCCGTTTGTGGAGCGTTTTGTCTCTCCATGAGTCATAATTTGTGGCATGCACAGTTGTGGCGCCGCTCTCATAAGGCTGCCTGCCAACACATGAGGGCAAAAGGGAAGCAGCCCTTTTTTGGTCCACGTGTCACATATTTTGTTCTTAAATACCATTTCATTCTGCTCTGCTGGCAGTCCTTTAGAGATCGGCGCTTAGTGTGTGTCTCTATTTATTCTCCATGCAAGTGAATCATTTTCACAATTACACATGGGTTGAGTTTGAAAAGAAATCTTTACATGTTGAAACACTATCAGGGAAAACTAAATAGCACCTCTGGCACATGAAGGTGTGCGTGGTCTTTCGGGGTCGTGGAACTCTTAAAAAGGTTCTTAGCTGTTTCTATGACAACCAAAGAAGGGGATATTTCAGTGCATCATGTGTTGAGACGAAGGGTACTGTTAGCATGTTCAGACTTCGGCTCTTCTAGTTGACAGAGTGGCTGTAGATGAGTCACATGTCTGTTTCCAGATGTGCCATGCACTTGTGAACATCTGGACAAAGACTTGTGTCCAGACACAGATCTGGAGTATATGATTTGTCCTGCTTATCAAGCTCTAAAATTTAGACCACAATATTAGATTTCCATGATTCAAAAGCACCGCCATACCAATATATAAACTTCCTCTGAATTTGTGTGTGTGAGTGACTGAAACACCCGTAGTGGGAGGCCGCTTGGCCCGTGCATTTCTAATCCTGGATAAGGACTAAAGACAGGTGCCGAATTACACAAGGCCCGCCTTTTGTGTCCCTTTGCTATTTATGTACATGTAGATATTGTACTATCCACACACACACACGCTGGTATGAACACTAACAGGAAGTCCACCCTTTAGGGAAATGGCTTCATGATCCTAAGTCATCAGGTTGCTGGTAGCAGATTTCACACAGTGTAATTTCCTGGAGTCTGTGTTTGACAGTTTGAGCAAGCTAAACTTCACATGTAATAAATTATCGATTTCAAAACACTAATCCCTAACAGCCTAACTCCATCCTGTCTGTATTGCCTTAGCCAGCAGTTATTTATTTGGGAATAAGTTCTTAATAGATAATATATTGAACAAAATGTCGTCTTACTCAGTGTGTTGTCATTTGTTTGTTATAGTGTTTATACGTGTTGTTGCCGGGAACAGGAAGTCCAGCTCAGTTTGTTTGGTTTTGCCTTGTGTCAGCTGACAGGTTAAGGGAAACTGGGTCACAGAGAGCCACTGCCTGGAAGCACCTCCTACTTTCCATACCACCCCTCCTTCTTCCCTCGTGCTTCTGTATCTCTGTCATTTTGCTCCCTGCACACAGGCTCTTGTTGCAAAGAAAAACCAACCTATTTGTTTTAGTCTAGGTGCAATTATCAAACCTTATTATCTACACGAGGGAACCATAAATCAATATTTCACCAACTAAGGCCTCAAAGGTTATAATAAAGTTGAATCAAAACCTCTCTGACAAAAACACGATTTACTGTGGAGCTGTTGTATTGGATTATTGAGTTACACTGTACATGTGAACCTAATGAACTGATAACAAGGTGCAGGTTTAGTGGTGGCAGCTCACACTATCATGGAGTCACTCAGTTCAGTGATTTTACACACTAATAAAACTCTTATACTGCTCCTGTCAGACGCTGAAGCGGAAAGAGAAGGAGTATGAGCATGACATGGAGCGACTGGCCCGAGAGAAGATTGCCACGCAGCAGCGATTATCAGAGCTAAAGAACGAGCTGAGCCAGTGGATGGATGTGATCGAGATCGACCGAGTCCTCCGGCAGACGGTACAGCCAGAGGAGGACCAGGCATCCACCTCCACTGCTTCAGGTAGGCTGACAGTCAGGGTGGAATTACTGGAGGCCTATAAGACTTTCCCTGTATAAATAGTCTTATATGAATTTGTAAAACATCCCATAGACTACGGTACCAAACCTTTTTTAAATGTAGGTGTTAGTCAAATTAAATCCTGCAAAAATGACATTGACTCAAATAACACTGAGTTAATTTTCTCATCTCTGGCAGAAGGTGAAGACATTATGGATGATGACCTAGAAGATGAGACTGCGGCGCGAGCACAGACTGCCTTACCCACCGTGCCTCACACCATGAAACCTGAGCTGCACAAGACTACAACACCCACCCAGACCCCAACCCTGGCACCCACCACCACCACTAACTCCTTCATCACCCAGCACATCTCCATCCAGCACAAAGCCACCCTGCACCAGCCTCAGCTCCAGCCGCTGCCAGTGACTCTTTCACTGCCAGTGTCCAAGCCTGCAGCCCCACCTACACTCACCGCTACATCCAGCACTCCCATCACCCCCAGTCAGCCCCTGATCCCCACCCAGACACAGATGGTGACCATGCCCAACCTACACCCCACAGTTATTGCCCACGCTTCAGTGTCCCATCCCTCGGTCATCCAAGCAGTCAACCATGTCATCCAGGGTCCCAAACACATTGCCCACCTGGCTCCCGCCACCACCACCAGCTCTGTCCAGTTAGCCCCTGGCCACCAACCCATCGGCCACATCACTGTGCACCCAGTGGCTCACCTGAGCCAGCATCTACCCACCCTGTATCCCCAGCAGGTGGCTGTCACGCAGCCAGCCATGGTCGGTCACATCACCCACACCCTAAACCACGCCCACCCTCAGGTGAACGGCACTGTTCCTAGCCAACCAGCTGCCACCATCGTTGGCAAGCAGACAGCAGTGAGCACCCAAATGGTGACCCACCACCCGCAGCTAGTGGGTCAGACAGTGCTCAACCCTGTGACAATGGTGACTATGCCCTCCTTCCCCATCAGCACTCTGAAGCTGGCCTGAACACCTCCATACAGGACCACCAGGCTGGAAGACGGTGACATCCCTCAATGGGGGCAAACCATAGGCCACAGACCAGGCAACAGAACAGGCCACCGACGAGCCCCACACAATGAGGGAGGAGAGCTGCTGGACGACTCGCTGATCCACAGTCTCACTATCATTCAGAAGCATTACAGCTGATATAAAGCCAGGAACATTTCCAAGACAAAATTTTAAAAAACTTTCAATACTCCACTGCCACAGTGTCCTGAAATCTTAGATCCTGGATTTAGGATATGCCAGGTCTACATGTGGTTCATCATGTTGAGTGTGTGTGGTACAGTGGGCAGATGTTTCGCCGGTCATCCATTGTTGCAGGTAATGGAGCAGTAGTCATTTTTACATGAGCTTTACGGAAAACAGCTTCATATAGGGAAATGTTACATTGCCAGTAACATAACAGCACCCGGTTACAGTGTTCACGTCTGACTCACTATGACAGCTGGGGATAAACCATTAGCAGATATGTACTCAAGAGGCTGCATTGGGTTTTGAGGGTTGTGACAGTGTAGGATGGGAGTGCTGGACCCGCCATAACCAGCAGCACATTGGGAATGTGATTTAGAGGAGCTCCTCCTCTCCAGCAGAGGCACATGCTGCAGGGCTGGAGCAAAATCATGGACTGAACTCAAGCTCCTGAACTGTAGATGCAGTCCTCAGTGATGGTGCTTACACCAATAGCTCCCTCCACTGGCTGATTGTGTTCAATGTGATAAAGGACACTTTTTTTTTCAATTCACTTGTTCAGCAGCTCAGGAGTCAAAAGTATAGGAAAGGAGTGATTGAAAATCCCTGTGACAATTAAAAAATCTTCCAGATAAATATAATTCTGGTGGATGTCATTCAAACTACGGCCACTTAAGGTAAAATAATACACCGTTTTGTCAGGGTTTGGTTTTTCATACTGGAGGACACTTATAGTTTCCAACCTCTGGTATTTGTCCTTCAAACATATGGGCGACAAGTGCAAATGAGTGTTTTAGGATCAAGGGGGGGGTTGTCACAGCTGTTAATATATTTTAAAACAGTTTTGCCAAATAGAATTGATTTGTCCCGTTAAATGTAAATGCCACATACAGCGGTGTGTTGTTAAATACTAAACGCCTGCGATACAAACTCATGTCAGTCAGATGCTACAGGAGGGAGTTGTAGAATGTGAATACATAAAGTCCATAAAATAAAGCGTGTTTCTATGCTGTTTTGCAGGGCAAATGGTAGTAGGATGTGTTTGCATGCTTTGAATGCATTTCATGACTGTAATTTTAGAGATTATGTTGAAAGCGAGGACTGTCTTCAGCAAGTTGCAGTAGGCATTTAAGATTTATTGGCACAGAGTTAAAGCTCTGTCATTCATAAGTTTGGGTTGGGATTGCTATAAAGTGATTTCAGCCGCTGACGTATGTGTTGTTTTTTCCCCCAAGACTAACTTTTTCCAAAGCTAGCACTGTGAAATTTAGTCTCAGTGAGCAGCAAACGTGCAGCTTAGCATAGCACCTGCTAGAACAGCAACGTGTCATGCTCTCCTAATTTAATCTGAATGTACTGACCTGTGAAAGGACGTGGAGTAGTGCACTCATCAGAAGATAAGCCCTTTCTTTTTTTAAAAAGAAAAATGCAATTACTTTATTAAAGTACCTTGTGTATGTAAAGTGTAACATTTAAAATTGGATTTTGTATTTTAAGATTTCACTTGGAGAATATCTTCTTCTGTTCAGTGTAAATTTGATAATATAGTTGTTTTTTTCTGGGACCATGTACAGTGCTGTATATCAGGGGGTGACAACTACATAGACCTCCAACGTTGATATCGCATTCGGCCACTTTGGAAAGTATTCACCCCTTCGTTTGTTGTATTTTGTTATGATGCAATATGATTAGAGCAGGGACTTCAGGTTTTATTGTCACAGATGAAGCCCCCTTTTCACCTTCAGATTTTATGCAAGTGATCCTGAACAAATGCATTTTGAAATCATATTGTAGCAAAACAAAATGTGTAAAAATCAACAGGGTTTCAGATACTTGAGAAGCAACGATATACTTGTGTATTTTCCCTATGGAGAAAGTTTAAGTTGTATATAGCCTGTAAATGTTGGGCTGCATTTAGATCTAACTGTATTATGTAAAAAGCTGGGGAAAATATGTACAATTAAACATTTATAAAAAAGATACTTAATAAATTGTATTATGTTTACAAATGTCTAAAGCTGTGTTTTTGTCTTTTTGATTCCAATTAAAAATCTGTGGACTGATGAAGGCAATCCTCGACAAAAGTTAAGTTCCAGTACTTCACAGTACTATCTAACCGTGTCTAACAAGCTTGCAAGCAAGCTACCTAAAACACCATAGAAATTATGCTAACATTATTCGCCTTACTTATTAATGAAAAAGTGGTTTAATTTGGTCATAGATTTAATTACCATAAAGCAATTGAATTATACTCTGATGAAATTACTTTGATTTAATTGAACTATATTAAATTAAACAAATTTAAATCTATAATATCTAACTGAATTGAATGTATTAACATTAAATTCATTTAATAAATACATTTTTTGAATTTAATTATTTATTATTATTATTATTTAATTGCAATAAATTAATTCAGTTGAATCACAGTAAATTAATAAAATTAGGTACATTAAATCAATAACGTATTAATTCAATTAAAGCATTCATAAATAAAATAAATTACATTAATTTAACTAAATTACAATTCAATAAAGTAATGTTATATTCAGTTATTTATATAAACAAAAGTAAATAAATTGAACTAAACTATTTAAATAAAATTATTTCAAATAATTAATTAACAAGTAATTTAATTCAATTAAAAAGTTATAAACTCATAATTTAAAATCAAGCCATAGGAGTCAATTGTGCTTACATTTTCAAAACATAAAGCAAACCCAATGCCTGATGGACGCATGAATTATATTCATATTTTATTACAATGTTAGAATTTTTACATATTGTCCTATCCATCTGCATTTCATTTATAAATTTATTACATAAATATACTTCAAAAAGTAGAATAAACAAAAGACACATTTAATATAAAACAAATTCAGAAACAAAGTAACACCTGATTTTGGGACAGAAGCTGGAGGAATGTAATTTTTCCTTTTTTTCTTTTTTTTACATAAAGGTACACAACATGGCAGTCATTTAACTTCCATGGATGTCTACTTGTAACATAGAAACCATTAGCAAGAAAATGAAAGTTCATTCAGATATTTTTGATCATTACTCTTAGCTGTGACACTTTTTTCATGTCAACACAAAACAAAATTCACACTTTCAGAAAAGGAAAACTCAAAATTTAGGACAGTTAAGTTTGTCATTGTTGGCTTTGGTTATAAACATTAAGGTTAGCACACATCCAACTTCCCTTAAAATGAGGAAATCATGATAACCTGCCCAAATAAAAATTTAAAAAACCACTTCTTAATATATTTTCATTGCCCATAAATAACCTTTTGACCACGTCATTGATCTGCAATCTGAGTAACCTTTACAAAACACATGCAAAAATAAATACACTGCACAGCCTTTGATGTGACCCTCCCCTTGGACACTCATGCAAATGAAGGGTCTTGTCTAATCAAAGTCTTCGTCAGGACTAACAGGCATTCTCACATCAGCTCTCACAAGTGAACTGTTGATGGTTCTGTCTTGATCAGTTTTCACGAGATTCTGAAACAACTCTGTTTTGGGGAATTCTCCAAACAATAACGGACTTCTTTGTCATGTAAAAAGTAGATTATTTTAAATGTTGATATTTGGCAATCAGTAAGTGAGCAAAGCCACTAACATCCATGCTGTCAGGCAGCAGAGGTGGCAACTATGATGAACATGCACATTTAAATGAATCCTCACACAAAGATGAAATCAAATGAACCAACCTCATCTAAAGGGAAATCAACATGACACAGCCATCCATACACAATGTCAAGCAGAGTAGTTAAATAAAACCAGGAGCACATAAAAGATGAAAATAAGCAGAACAAATGTTTATGAGTGGGATATATAAAAATTAAATTATTACAGTATATATGCATGTTGACCTATAGAGATAATAAAAATAAACACTTGCAACAGAAAAATGTGTTTTAAAAAAATCTGAGCAGGTCACCACATGTAAACCTCATATTTTTACCGTATGTAAAAATAAAATTACACATCCTGGGGAGCATGTCACTGAACAAAGTTCAGATATTTAAAAATCACTCATCGACTAAACAAACCCTCAAACTAGAGACGATTTATTCAAACAAACAACAATGCTTTTTTAATCATTTTAAACTTGACAGAACAGAAAACAGTAGAGTGGAGGGTCGAGTGTTTTGCCGCAGTGGTGTCATAACGTCAGAGGAATAAAGGGCGCAAATGTCAGAACATCTTACCACCTCCTCGCTGGTCCCTGATCCAAGTGTAACATGCTGCTGTTGATGAGGTGGAGAGGTGGTTGGGTGGACACGTGGGGGACGTCAGTGTTCTAGAGAGGAATAAAGGCTTCCTGGGTGTGTTTTGTTTTTTTCTTTTATCCCAGTTAGCAAGAGAGACATGTACACAGTGTGATCGCTGTCCTGCGTTAATAGGCGTCTTTCTGAGTGTGCATCTGGTCTTGGATCCTCTGCAGCATTTCCTGCATCCGCCGCAACTGTGAGGAGAGAGGATGAGACCAGCGTTAGTTAGTACCAGCCTTTTAATGCAAGCTAATTATTTCCACAGGACTGCACAGACAACAAATCAATAAGACTCGGGAGATCAGTCTGGTATTTCTAGATCACGTGATCTGTGCTGAACGAATGTAGCGTACCACTGGCACCTCTACTTGCCTCTTCACCTTCACTACACAGTATCTAATTTTACAAAAGCAGCAGTCAAAAGACTCAAATATTTGCTCTTTTAGATTTATTCTAACATTTGTTGGAAATATTAGGAGCACAATCATTTGTGTTGTGCTGCCTCTGCTGTGATTGTCGGGCAGTAAGTGTCGAATATATAACATTTTTCACTTTCTCAAAACATAGTGAAATAGCACTGTGTCATAGTTAAGATTATTTAAATTTATTTTCATTATTGATGAATTTGCCTTTTTTTTTTTCAATTAATTGATTGCTCATTTGGTCTTCATCACTGATTTCCTTGCAGCCCATCATAATCAAATGTCTTAGTTTGTCTGAACAACTGTCCAAAACCCCAGCAATATTAATTTATAAATGTAATTTGAGACAAGAAAAAGCAACACATTTGAGAAGTTGGAACTATGTAATATTTTGCATTTTTGACTGAAATGATTCACAGGTAACCTCTATTGTCATGTTGGTTACACAAAAAATAAAAACAACTGAGGAGAAAGTATCTCTTTATTTGATAAAATAAATAGATTTATTGGGGAGGAGGGTAGTAATTCACCATGAACAGATGCATCATCAGCTGTATTTGATTATTAACTAACACTATGTAACAGTTATCTATTATGTCAGCTCAGTTCATCTTCAGTTACCTTAACTGGGAAGTTAACATTGACTGGTCTTACACTGTATGTGAAGAATTAAAATCTTACAAAACAAAAAGGAATAATATTTAATCTAATGGTATTTCCTCGAATAATATTTTTTATTATTTTCGTTGAATATTCAAACAAAAAAAACCTACTTATATCATATCTCATCATAATTTAGCCCTGATATAATTGATAGGGATTTGAAAATTATTGTGGAATTCTAACAATATTAATACCTTGCAGCTCACGGGCAGAGTTGAACCTGCCAAGTTTCACTAACCCCAGTTCAACTTGGGGTTGTGAAAAACAGGACAAAAGCTGAACATTTTTTACACATGATGACTTCAAGGACTTAAACGTCATCTGGCTCCTGCTGCTAGGGGGATTTTCTGATGACACCACGAGTATGAAGCAACATATTCATCATATACCAATTGGAATATCATTACCTTGATCTAACTCTAGGTCTATGTGCATGTCCCACATAGAACTAATCGTGCATTATTTTTATCTGGCAACCTCTTTTCCTACCAACAGTTCAAAGGTCCAAAGGACGTGAGGACAGGGGAAAAGGGGTTTGAAGGTCCAAAGGACTTGCTAGGACAGGGGAAAAGGGGTTTGAATGTATAATTACACCAATTCATGTTTTGTGAGGCTACTCATTGTTAACCCCAGAAAACATGACCTGAGTGTGCTTTTAAAGAACAGTGATAGAAAAACAAAATCTCAGAGGGCTTCATCAGCCATCTGACGTAAATGTGTCTCTGGGTTGGGCTGAGGATCTGAGTGCTCGTGGTGGTCAGAACTGTACTCAGAGTCGTGCTTGTGATCACGTTGGCAGTGCGAGTCTGGCTCGTGGTCGGCGTGCCGTACCTCCTCGTCTTTCTCTCGGATGAGTTTTTCTGTCTCGTTGTCTGCCACTGTTGGCACCACGGGGATGGGGAAGTCTGTGCCGCTCTCCCTGGTTAGTTTACTGCAGAGAGAGACACGTTGTAGAGACGTTCAATGACATAAAATGATCAGAATCTTTAATGTTGAGTTCACTGTTTTGGCTAAAAGGCTAGGTGGATCCAGATCTGACATGTGATTGGCTAATCATAGTTGACTGTGGCATCTGACTGCAGTAAAAGACAGTGAATATAGAAAAAGCACAACACGTAAAGGGACACTCTATTGTTAGTTACTCTACTCTGTCGACTGTAGGCTGTAACATTTTACAGCAAAAATACCAAATAGGAGAATCAGGGTGTAGATTAATTCATCTGCACTTGCCTGTGAGGACTAAAAAAACCTCATTAAATAAACTGAAAAAAATAAATCTGAATATCTATAAATTGAATAAAGAAGAAAAAAAACACATGTTCTCTTCAAAAATATTAGTCTTTAAATGCCTATATTTCTTATCTCTTGAAATTGATAAATGCCTGATATTTCTACTACACTTCATTGCAGTATGTGTGCTTGCCCCTAGCGTCAGTGTATGCATACTTGCGGTTGCGTTCCTTCACAACCATGCGGGTCATGCTCTGGATGCAGTGGGCCCTGTAGTTCTCGTAGTGAGTCTCCCGGGTCACGTCCTTCAGATCTTGCATGTGAGTGCGGACGAGCATGTTCCTAAGCTTCACGAAATCACAGTGTGCCGAGTTCTCCACTGCAAAGCCACAGTGTTAAGATCAATATATACTATATATATCTACAACAGTTAAAAATGTGTGCAGCATCTTTAAAGGCAACAAATGAGTAACTGTATGAGGAGATCGGGCCTACCCTCTACAATGCCCCAGGGGTAGAGACGGCCTCGCACCCTCTTCCCCTTGGCCTCCACCACTGTGTTGCTGCCAATCACTGCAAAGGGAATGCTTTCCTTTTTGGGAGAACAAAACGGATCATAAAATTAAAATGAAATATATATATATATATATATATATATATATATATATATATATATATATATATATATATATATATATATATATATGTATATGTATGTATATGTATACACACACACACACACACACACACATATATATATATATACACACACACTTGCCTCCTCTTTCCCTTCTTCCTCATATCTGCTCATTTTGTTTTGTTTGAATCTATAATCTATATACCCATTTCTAATCTTAAATAACATCCTCAATTTTAGCCCTTCTCATTATTTTTTTTAATTCCTCCATCTTTTATTCCCATTTTTCAGTTCTCTGCTGCAGTTAACACAGTGTTCTTATCAGAGGTTACTCAAGGACAGAGGCAAACAGAGACACACTGGCACACTGACTGTGTCCTCGCTGCCAGCTTTGTGATGCCAGGAGAGCAAAGAACATCTGACACATCAAGACTCTGCAGTCAGTAATGGGATGACTGACAAGGTCTTATACGGTATTATACATTCATTTTAACATCACTAAAAGGGTGATCCTCATTGATGCGATCAGAACAACAAAAGAGTTTTGTGTCTGAAAATTTAAATCCTGCAAAATAAAATATAAATATATTTGATGATAATACTTGCTGTTAGTGTCATGTCTGTTCTTGTTTTCAGGTGCAATCAGCTGACATTGCAGTGTGTTTCCTACACTGCAAAGGTTTAGATGCAAGAACTCTGGTGTGGTAAATTAATCTTTAGTCATGCACATGTCAAAAACTGACTTCAACAGCCTGCAAACCCCAAACTGTAGAAAAGACTCTAGAAAGAAAGACATTTCCAATTACTCCTTTATCCTAAGCGACTTACAATTGCTATATATGTCAGAGGTTGCACGCTTCTGGAGCAACTAGGGGTGTCAGGGTGCTCAGGGACACATAAAGAGCCTCACCTTCAGCTCAGTGTCCTGCTGCTTAAAGTCCTCATCCTCGTCAGAGTCACAGTCAGGGAACTGGTATATCTTGATCCCATACTGCTCAATCTCCTCTCGGATCTACAGAGGAAAGTACATAGTATATACATGTATTTTGTTCTGTAGTGTCAATAATTTGATCATTGATGACGCAATACTGAGTTTGTTTGTTCATCAAGAAACGGATAAGTGGGTTCTGTATCTACAGGTTCATTTAAGGGATGAAACAGGTGTATAGAGATCAACAGTTTGTTGACTGAGATCAGCCTTGCCTTGATTTTCTTTTTCTTGACCTCACTGGGGGTGAGTGTGTCTGCTTTGGCCAAGATGGGGACGATGTTAACCTTCTCATGCAGAGCTTTCATAAACTCCACATCCAAAGGCCGGAGGCTGGAAGAGAAATTTGGAACATACAGACGTGGGAAGTACGATGATACCCTCAAAGTAACACCTGGAGTGTTTAAACATGCGTGAAATTCATTTTTTATCACTATTACAGACAAAGGTGAACCGTTAATATATGTCTGACAGTAAGATATCTTAAAAACATAGAAACATATTTCCATAAACGACAGTTGTTGTGATCATGGGACAAGTAATTTATCTCTGTGATAAATTCCTAATGCGAGTTGTTTGTTTTTAGCCCGACAGTTGTTGTATGTTGTGACCTCTTGGTGTGGAGTAATGACTGAAGTGCATCAACAGAGGGAGCAGTTTTTCCATCAGTATGACTTTAAAAATGCACTGCAGCATTGCATGAGGTTTATGGTATATTTGCTCCTTAATGAGCACGGCAATGTGGAACAGTGCATGTGCACAAATGCGGTGGAAAGTACAACATCAGCACTCAGCACAAACAATTGATTAGAGCCAGAAAGCACTGCACCAGATGTAAATTCACCTGAAGGCAGCTGAGAACTGTTTTAACTCTTGGCAGGAGCCAACTGCATTAACAATTTATGGAGCTGAACGCACTGCAAGTAAATACTGGTGCGCTAGATATTTACAATAAATCTCAGTAACTGAGGTGGCTGCATGTGTGCAGGAAAAAGCTGTGTGCAAGATGCTGTGATATGTTAATTAATTTATGGGAAGTAAAAGTAGTCAGTGCCAGCTCAGACTTTACATATTGCAGCAGAAATGGGTTAATGTTCCCCCATTTTATCAGGAGTGATAAAAGAAGGCTAACTAATCTCTACGAGAGCACTGCGGCTTTGTCATACCCATGACCGAAGGGTGAGATGAAATAGAGGCAGCAGTGTACGCGGTTGTCCTGAATGTTCTTGCGGTTGAGGCCACTCTCGTCCCTGAAGTACTGCTCAAACTGCTGGTCGATGTAGTCAGCCACTGACTTCCAGCTAAGAGCAGAACACATACAGGGAAGTTCAGTCTCTGAGGCAATGCAGACAGTGGAGCAACCAAGCTCCAGCGCATGACTTTTTAAACACAGCAGCAGAGTTAAAATGAGGTTATCCAGCTGAACTCTGTTCATTGTTTCATTGTTTTAATTTCATTAATTGTTTTACACGTACCATTCGGTGTTGTTCACGGCATCCCCAAACCCAGGGGTGTCCACGATGGTGAGCTTCAGTTTGACGCCTTTCTCTTCTATATCCACTGTGTGTTTGGTGATTTCTACTGTTTGTGTGATTCGCTCTAGGGAGAGGACACAAACAGGCTGCTGTTTTTAATATCAGCCATGACATATTGTAGGGTAAATATTTATTTAAACCCACGAGAAAACATACATCAAAAGATGTGGCTAATTCCTCACCTTCAGCATTGAGCAGCTTCCTATCTTTGTAAAGATCTGTGAGAAACAGGCTGTTGACCAGGGTGGACTTTCCCAGGCCGGACTCCCCTTCAAACAAAGAACAACAAAGAGGAAAAAGAGCTGGGTTTAAGACTTTCTGATCAGCAGTCTCTTCGAAGTAAAAGGCAGGCTTAAGATCAAATGTCTGCTAATGTGCGAATGAGGATTTACCTGCCACCATGAGCGTGAAGTCAAATCCCTTCTTCACTGACTTGCGGTGTACCTGGTTTGGCAGCGTCGCAAAACCCACGTACTCCTTGTCCTGGTCCTGAAGATTGCACACAAAGATGAAATAATACAAATAGGGAACCACACATTACCATGTATATGACTGTGTTAAAATGCTTTTTCAACACTGTTATCAACCGCTCAAAAAAGTCAGTATGTTAATTTTCCCACAAACAGCTTTAGACCAAAATAAAGCCGACAACACAACAAAATCAAAAAGCAGCGCTACTGTCACAGAGCCCTCTATCCCATCCTATGAGCTGCACATTCAGTTCAACACATTACAGCACTCAAAATGAAATTGCCTTGAATGCAGAACTAAACCACTCAGCTCTTGTTTCTCCTCTCTGGGATTATTGGCTGGTTCTCCTTGTGTTACCTCATTATTGTTGTATGGGTCAAATCGACCCCAGGGACTCTTGGGCCTGGTGGGGCTGATAGGGGACAAGTCAAACTCCACGCATCTGCTCTGCAGTAAACTGGGCTCTGAACCTGAATCCGACTGCGCCCTACCCGCCACAGGAGGGCGCAAATACGACGGGGTGTGGGGGCGGTCTTCGCCCTCATCTTCCCTGTCTGCATCGTGAGGCTCAACGCCATGGTGGTGGTGGTGCTTGTGGTCATGGTGCCCTCCTTGGTGGTGAGGGTCTTGCATAATGTTCTCCACCTCTGAGTCGTCTGAATGGCTTGAATGCTAGAGAGACGCCACGGTCGAAGGGGATGGATGAGGTAACAAACAGAGGAGTGGAGGTAGAAGAAAGACAGAAAGTTAGAGGAAAGGTCAAGTGTCAGTGTGGAAGGGAAGGGATATTGATCCAGTATGTGGAAAATGCACTTTAGAAACGGTCCTAATATTTTATGGTGACGGGAAAATAGTGCATGGCTTTAAATTCTACAGAGTAACGAAGAGATGGAAGCATCTTACTGAGATAAAGTATACAATGTTGAATATACATTGCAGAAGTCAGACAAGAAGAAAGCTGTAAAAGTCTAAATACCTAAATTTGATCTCAGACAGTATTGAACTGAAGCAGATACATCTTTCATATTCTGATTCATCAGCCCAACAAATAAACATATAAAATGAATCATTAAATAACAATTAAATTTAACTGATTATAATTGTTGCTGATGAGCCTTTAAACTGCAGTTGCCACTAAACACTGACGAATGAGACATAGGCAACATGTAATCATCAACTTTCTATCATCATTTAATCAAATTCAAAGTCAATTTCAACGAGTATCTCCTTAGGGGCTGCTAGCTGTTTGGTGTTTGTATTCAGTCAATGGGGGAAAAAAAGTGAAGTGGTCCGAGCCACACAACACTATTCCAGCCGTTCCAGCCCTGATTTGTGTGTCAGGTAACGCTAAATGACTTGCCCACACAAATTCAGCTTACTTTCTAGTTTGCCAAGACATGGTGTTGCTATGATGTTAGCTATAGTAGCAGGAGAGTTGTGAGTATCGCTGTTTGGAGCTGGTGTGCTGGCTCTGGGGCTTTCTTGTCCTCTCTGCATGTTAGCTTCGAAGCAGCAACTGTAGTGACAGTTTGCTAACCAACAACTTAGCTAATGTTAGTTACAATACTTGCTGTGTCGTTGTTGTTCGCTCAATATCATGGTATTTGTCATGGAATTGGATTTCTGACAGTCACGGGGGCATTTTCGATTCAAGGCTGGTCGGAACAGATTATTGGCCCAAATGATCCTGTAGTGTGAGGGATTTACAAACATAAACTTAAAGTCGCGGACTGGATGCAAGACATTAGCCATCTTAATTAGCCATTAAGAGTGAGCTGACTGGAAAGCGTCAGGTGTGCATTTTTATGATTCAAATATTAAAAATCTGTTAAATATGTTATGTCTGTGGTAGACCACATTTTTAAAATCGGTTTAAGATTTGAAAATCCTCTATTGTGCACCAGGTACCTTTAATCAAGACGGATCACGTTAAAGGTGAACAACAACACCAGGCATCTATCTCAGTGGATTTGTGTGTTATTTCATTACTATGAAACTAATACTGAATGAGCTAACACATTTAACTGTACATTCCTTGAGGCTGAGAGTTTTTCCTGCCTCATGGATTATAAATCTCCTGACCACTTTATGAATTTTGCAGCGCTAATGTGAGGCAAAAAAGGCCTATTTTAGGTGTTAGGCACACAGTTTATTCTTTATTGCTGGATTTCAAGGAGTAATACACACTAAGCTGTCACAGAGCTAAAATAAAAAATAACAAAGTGGTGCTTTTCCTGTAAGAGGATACACAGCTGAAGTGTAAGCTGCTGTGCATATTCTGGACTCCAGTTACCAGTTAGCTCTCCCAGTCCCACAGACCAAAGTCTCCCTGTAAGTCGAGCACAAAGATAAATAATGCAGTGGCTCCTCAGAAAGCAAGAGGCCATTTAAATTCAGCTGCTGGCCCACGGTGTGACTCATGTTATGTATATGCACTATACATTAGCTGAGGGGTTCAATTAGAGCTGGTTGTTGTGGCAGGGCACGTGAAGCACCGGGATACAAGCTTTGGTCTGACTGAAAAATAACTGATGTATACTGCTTTTTGTTGACGCTCAACGTAAGGTTAAATTGAGATGTGGGGTATTTGACTAAAAGACCATGATTCATCTTTTTGTCAAACACCCCACATCTCAATTGTCTTCTCTTTTGTCTTCTAGATTTGCTGTGGTCAAATCAGTCACAAACTCTGAATAGAAGGGGAATTAAATAAATAATTTAGGAGTTTTTGGAAGTGTCAATGGTACCTGTTCAGCATCATGGTCCCTGCTTTGATTAGGGGAGTCAGGGCAGGAGTCCTGCTCGTCTGATGAAGAGTGAGCCTCGTGGTCACTGTCCTCCATTGCAACTGGGGCTATAGTACACTCTGCAATCTCCAACCAGAAGGGAGCACACATGGAGGGGTTTAATCGGGATAAAGAACAGGCGGGTGGGTTCATGTCAGGAGAGGAAGAAGCAGGACCCCAGAGAGTCCACCATGAGGAAATGAGGTGCAAGTGGTGCAAGAGCCGGGAGCGGTACGACAAGAGGAGGGAATGTGTTCAGGCAAGACAAATGAAGACAAGAAAGAAGATGAGAATTAAATAATAAATAATAATTAAAAAAGGTAAAAGTAAGGACAAATGAAACAACAACATACCATTTCCTGCGGTAAATGGTATGAATGCAGGGCACATAAGGTGACTGTTTGGTTGAGTAACCAGAGACATGATTGAGCGATGCATAATGGCATTTTGAGGGCAGTTGTTTCCACAGTGTCCCAATATAATATATTCCAGCACCGCCTTGTTCCTCTGATATCGCTCTATTCAGTGTTTCAGGCACCATCAAAAATGTCCAGCCGATGTCAGTGCCAGCAGATAAGAGTATCTGTGCCAGCTGCAGTTACATAATGCAGAGAGTCATTGAAAGTTTGATGAACATTCACCAAACAAACACCAAAGTAAAACACACACTAAGACACTCATTCATGTTTAAGAGCCACTGCGGATTTGCTTTATTCCCTTTCACGTTAATATACCCACTGGAAAGTACTGACACAAATTTTTGACAAATCTTTTCCTATTTAATGTTTTGATATCCCTCCATCACTGTTCAATCAAAAGTTTTAAAAAAAGCTTCTCATGCCATGGCCTACAGTTTTAATATTTCTGGGATTTAGAGCTTTAGGGCATAGGAGAAATTGATAGTTTCGCAGTTTAGGAAATCGGTGACCTGCTTTCCTGTGTGACAACCAAAGCACGGAGATCAATGTCCAACATGGTGGATACTGTGACCTACATAGGAGAGATGGTCGACTGTAACGCTTTGACAACTATGGAGCAGGAATGCTAACAAGGTCATCATCCAATTTCTTCCTTTTTGCTTGGTTTTGGTGTCAAAAAGCTTGTTAGACCGAGCTGACTGAGAGAACCGAGGCTTCAACAAAATCAGACGTAATGTCTTGCTAAAATCACAACTGCAGCGTGTAGAGAAACAGCATTTGCCATTGCAACAACACAAAACCCAGTCTTGCCTTTAGAAAAGTGGAACACAAAAGTTGCATCACAAACACACACCACCAGGACCCTCCGTCTACAAAGGGCCTCAACCTCCTCTCTTTCAGGGCCTCACCTGTGGTACCTTTAATCAGCGTACAAAGCCTCTCCTTCTTGCTTCTGCGTAAGCTGCTCTTCATCCCCACTCCAGCAGGCAGCAGGCAGCAGAGACCGGAGGCTCCCGCATTTATACGCCTCCATCACAGAGGACACAGCGCCCTTCAGCCCCATCGAGCCACTCAGCGCCGCGGGGAACTGATCAGCAGCATTGACGAGTGTTCACAGGCCACACACCAACTCACACACAAAAGCTGAATTTACTCTGTTGCGATGTTATCTTAGCACAAGTTGTAGTAGTAGAGCTCTTTATCAGACATGACACAACATACGTAGACAATTAACACCATTCACATTTGATTCTCCATCTAATAGGTCTATCAGCCGTGATTGCATCAGACACATACTTTAACAATGATAGTTCAACTCCAGCAAAACAAATCCTGTGTATCCAGCACATTGTGGGAGAATATCTCATTATAATCGCAAATTATTTATAATAACCATAACCTGCTATGCTAATGAGTTCACTAATTAAGCTAATAAATGAATTAATTATATTCTATTTATACGCCAACACACTTGTCTTCGCATACCGCATTAAGCATTAAGGAGACTCCCTCATTCATATGCAAATGAACGCAGCAGGTTGTTTCAAAATGTCGACACACAAACACCACCATGATGACAAAACATAGTTTATAATAAATGCTCACCAGATATAATAACTCATTTTTTTGCGTGCACATTATAACCCTACAAACGTACATTTACATGTATGTTACCTTCTTGACAAGTGTGTCTAGACCTTTGATTAAATTCAAATCAACTTTCCTTCAGTGGCATTCCTGAATGCTGACCCCACCTTTTAAGCTTCTTCTTCTTCTCGGCCACACATGCTATCTGGTTACACTAATCAAAGCGATGAGGCAGGTAGTAGATTCACCCTCCTCTAAGCACTCCAAAGCTTTCTATAACAGACTTTTTCCTCTCCCACTGAAGCTGCTAGGCAATAAGTCCACGATGTGATTTGTCTTGATATATTTGTCTTTGGAAAAAACACAGTTACAGCTAATGAGGATGTAATGCATTCGAGAAGCAAAGGACTCTTATTGCAAATGGGATCTTTCTTTTTATATATCCATGCATGGCTGATCTGGAGGCCAAAAACATACATCAATTTATTTATATTTACAATTTTTTTGACAGTCAGCTGGAAGACAAAAGAAGAAAGAAGATGTAATGGAAGTGTGTAGATGCTCAAAGATGAACACAGTTCAAGAACAATTATCAACAAATATTTTTTTTTATCAATGACATTATGCTTTCCAACAGGACAGACCATCCAATCAGAGCTGCTTGGTGTTCCTGGCACACAGCTGTGTGAAGTATAGGGAAGCCTCAGGGTTTGATGTTTGTAAATTTTACTGTGTGCACTTTTATTACCTAACTTTATTAAGCAACTCAAGTTTCTCCTGTCACAGTGAAGCAACAGCACTTTATCCTTTTGTTGAATTTAATACCGCTGAATTGCTCTTTTTGCGTCACTCAATGAACTCCAGTTTTCCACCGATGAACTGCAATCCAGGTGAGAATCTTCCAAAAACGACACAAAAACTGACGTAACGTATAATGCTAAAATGATTTTGCCTAGGTAATGTTTTAATGTCATCAAAAAGTACTGTCTCAGAACAACTGTGTGCTTGAGATTAGCAAACACACCCTCTTACAAGTCAGCTAGATCAAACTGACCACAGCCAATAGAAAACCAAAGTCAGGCTATCATGTGTGAAGCAGATCAAAAGAACAAAAACCTGCAGGTTAGTTGCTTAAAAGTTCAGAAAGAGAACCAACAAACAAGCCACTCAGTGTCTAGACCCTGACCTCATCCTTATTGTGTGTAATATTACATGGTGTGAAATATATTTTTATAACTAGAATAAAACCTAATGGGCTCTGACATCAATTTCACACATTTTTGTTGGGCTGCCACACACGAGTCTCCCACTGGAACGAGTCCCAGCTGAGACCTGAACCAATTACAATTTCCATAACTGGCCGAAATGGCATTTCAGTTCCTCTTGAGGGTTGGGTTCAATGTGACCAATAAGTAACCTTTATCATTATTGGATGCCACGCACGGTTTGTCAGTGATGAATAAGCCTCAGACCAGGTGAAACCAGTGTGGCTGGTTCAGGTTCAAAGTGGCATAAAGCAGGCGAGGCCCTGGAGTGAGACACATGGCTCAGATAAGCAAAAAACACAAAGCTTTAAGAACTACTATGTGACAAGTAAGCCTTTACATGCAGATGGACAACCCAGCTCCACTTGGCTTTGAATACTTCCTCACATTACTCAAAAAACAACACATTCACATTTTCTAGAAAGCCTAATAAATAAGACGGGAGATGAATCAAAAGGTATGTGGACATTAAGGACATTCAGGAACATTAAGCCTTTGGTAATGACAACATATCTTACTTTGTCAACAGCTGCTGTTTTGCCATTTCCTGCAACACTGATAAACTTGCACTTGCACTTGTGTTGTTGCCTCTGAACAGACTCACATGCTGAACTCAATCTAAGATCTCCACTCCAGAGGAGATGCCGACATAGAACGTCCTGTTTTTCATGGGAATTGGGTTAAGTGGGGCTAAAGCAACAATATGACCACAGAGAACTTTGTTGCATATACAGTACAGACTAAGGGATCCAATAATTTTAATGAAATTTAATAAGCATTCTGCGGGGCACATGGCAGGTTACTGCACAATTACAGGAACAAATGATACCCTTTTTGGGTCAAAGCTTATCGAGGAGACCATTGTAAGAAAAGTAACCTCTTGAGTATGTCAGAGAGAAGTTCATCTTATTAGGGCAATTGTAGGTTAAAAAAAATAATTACAGAGGTGGGGGAAAGGGGGGAAGTTTTTTTCATTAGTGATACAAGATACAGTGCAGACATAAGAGAAGAGGTGGAGTTTAGTGCATACCCTGCTTAAAACAGTACAGAGTTTTTTTTCTCATAAATGTGCAACTTTAATCTTGGAAATTCTCCTCTCTGCTATTACCTCTCCTCTGGGTCCATAATTTGTTTATTTTTTTTAACCTACAATGGCCCAATACGCTGTCATTGATGTGGGCATATTGCCCGATGGGACGAAAACCTATGTGGCTAGCCAAAGCAGTCCCTGAGAAAAACAATTGAAGGACATGAAACCCAATTCAGCATAAACAAGTTTTTATGGTTGACTACGCTGCCTTGTTACTGTTGGATCGTGGCAGTGGGTTTGGCTGCCCCAGTGTTGATGGGTGATGATTTGTTGCATGAAACACAGCTCTCAGGGGAAAGCCCACTTCAAATTCTCCCTGTATTACATGGGGGAATGCAATCAGCAGCTGCCAGAAGTCATAAAGAAATTATACAGCATGTTGTTGTTGTGATGAAATGCGTCATTTATAATCCAGCTAAAATAATTACTACGCTATTATTCAATGAATGCTAAATCATTTTTGCTTGGCAGGTTTCGCCCCCGTTGGCAGGAATGCTTACTTAACTGTATCCTGGTGAAGTGTGGGAGATGATGCATACAGTGGGGTTCCAGATACAAACTTATATACAATGTGTTCTTATGCTCCTCTTGAATTTTAGACAGTTTGTCAAGAAAAAGCAGTAATATTCTGAAGCACTGAAACAACATGTTTATTCCTCTTTAACGAATGTTGTGGATTGCACGGGCTGAATACCAGTGAGGTTTCCCCTTGTGGCGAGGCCAGTAGCAGGTGGTGAAACGAGCCATGTGCGCTCTGTGTGAATGCTGGGGTTGTTTGGATAGTTATAGCAGGGCTCTGTGTGAAGCTGGCTCAGTACAGAGAGAGAGAAAGAGAGGGAGAGACAGAAATAGTCCCCTCACACCACATACTCCCACAGCTATAGAGCTGATGCAGATTTCCACGTGACCAACACTCCACATACTCAGTGCAACTCAAAACACAATTAAGACTCTTTTCTTTGCCAGTGTACATCCTGCAGTTAAAAGGAAGCTGAAAAGAAGATGCCAGTACTGTACTCCAAAAAAATTCTTGTCAGTGTAAACTACTGAGCAACGATGTCTTCCACCAACAGAGGCTACAACACTTCCCACATGTGCAATGCAATCAGCTGTCACTCCTGATCAATGTGTGTGTGTTTTATCATCTTAGAGCAGGGAAAAGCTTTAGAAGGTAATCAACTCCACTTGGTTCAGCAACCATGTGGAAAACAGATATTCCAACTCCTCTCGGTAGCTTAGAAGAAAATAATTGAGCACAAAGCCTGGTCACAGGCATTCATGTGAATGGTCCAGCTGCTGTAGCTAATCTATACTCTGACACATGTACAATGTACACGGACAAAGGGGAAACCTGCAGCCACAGAGCAAATCACACATGGAGAGATACACTTAATTGCAGGGTCAGTAAGAAGGAAAGCAACACACACGTACCTCCGTGTCACTGATCGTTTCTGAATTTGCTGCCATATTATCCCTTCAGCACCAGCGGTATTCCTTTAGTTTCGCCAGCGACAGAAACCAGTTAAAGGGCCTTGAAAAGCTCCTCAGACTGACTGTCACTTCTTTAGTTTCAGGGCACCCCACGTTACACAAGCACACCTATTTTCCCTGCCTCACCAATCAGGTGGCATCCAGATTTCGTTTCCAACCCCCCCTTACCCCAAACTTGGACTGGAAACGACTTCTTTAAAAAAGGTACACCTTCGATCCCTGCAACTCTGCATTTGGAGCATTTCAACAGCTCCACCCTGCTCTGGAGCTCTGGCCAATCTGCAGCTGATATGCAGATGAGCTGCAGCTGAATTGTCGGCAGCTCGTGTCTGAAGTGCCCCGTCCTCACTTCAGACAAGAGATGATGCTCTGTAGGGAGCTCAACAACATCTGCCCTGTCACCTTGCTTACGAGCCTGTCATGTCCTCATTCTTAAAGCCACCCATGGGAGATCTCTACGCATAAATGATCGCGCACACACTAACAAAATCTTTTTCACTAACACGCATGTGCATGAATAAAGAGTGTAGGTGTGTCTCAGATGATTCAAAAATGACTGAAATTAACAAAGGTGGAGTAACATGAATCTATCAGATCAGGTCAAAAGGTCAATGTGGGGTCTGAGCATCAGACGAGGACAACAGCAGCATGCGTATAACTTTTAACAATGGCCGTCACATCCATCCCAGACCTCCCAGATGGCAGTGCCTGGGCCAGAGTGGCACAAGAGGAATCTGGGGTGTGTGTGTGTGTGGTAATGGTGGGGAGGAGAGGTGACTTGTGGCCTACATGCTACAAATAATCTTTTTATCTAATACACACTTTCTCTGTTCGCTCTCTCTCTCTCTCTCTCTCTCTCTCTCAATCTCTCACACACACACACACACACACACACACACACACACACACACACACACACACACACACACA